AAAGCTCCCTGGAGGCGTTTTTGTTGCCAATGCAGAGTGGTATGGAAATGCAGGATTATTAGTTTTGAAATTCGATCTGAACATCCTGTATTGCTGTGGAAAAAAGGGTTTAATGTATTGTTGCGTATCAGATTCGCAGATAGCTTATCTAGGCAAGATGCAGTACCTGCCTACATAGTCATTTGTAAAAAGTTTAAAATGTTTTTCTAGCTTTTTGTTGAAGTGATGATGGAGATTATCGTAGTACAAATGTTTAAACTTTAATTTAAAAATATTCTTGGTATCAAGAAAAAAATAACTTCACACAACATATTTTATTAATAGATGTAGAAGTTAGTGGTTAACTGGCTATTCTACGAATTACGATACAGTTTGTTGGAAATTTGACCGTTTTGCTGCATCCCGCGATTTTGGTAGGCTAGTGGGATCAGCTTATATTGCTATAGCTTTTCAGCTGAGCTGTACAACTGTGGACTCTTGTATAAGGCGTTCCCGTATAGCGTGTCGGCTTCGGAGGGTTCCAGGTTCGAACCCAATTCCACTGAAGATCCATCGTATATTAGGCCTGTTGCACGCTAAATCATATGTCGGCATCAAACATCCTACCGCTGGTGCGGTGAAGAAATTTGGAAAGGGGCAGGTGCCGTCCTCGTCATCTGACCGCAGTTTAACCCATTCATGGGCCATTTTTTTCTAGTAATGGTATAATAAAATAACTTTGGGGTTGAGGTAAATTTAAGAAAAGAAATTCATTTAGCTTATTGGATGACATTATTTTTTGTTAATTAATTTTATTAATAAATAATTAATTAATTAAAAAGTCAAGGCACTTTGTTTGAGATAAGAAATTGGAACGTCTAGGATTTCCTTTCATCTAAAAATTTGTTGAGAACTTTAAAATAGCCTACCTTGTACGTTTAAAAATTGATGAATACTTCCCACCGCTTTTCAAAGGGTTAAAATCACAAGGTCCGTCCTAAAATAGCCCTTGTGTTGCTTCAAAACGGGACGTTTATATAACTAAACTAAACTAACCCGTATAACGTGACGAAAAAATTGTGACTAGAAATCGTTTGGGTTGCTTCATACAGCGCGATAAACTGTCCCGTATTACGCGTAAGATAAATCTAGAATTTTCATAGTTTTTGATTTCATGTTTAGAAAAGCAAATGTATATACTTATCTTTTGCTTACATATGAACAGTGAAACTGATAGTTTTAAAAAGTAACATCTCACTAGCAATATGGACATTAGAGACATATACACATTAGAGGCATGTTTGAACTGCATGTCCTGTATAATAATACATGTCCAGTATGATGCGACTCCATACTACGTGGAACGTATCTCCCGCGTCGTATGAGAGTCCACTGTATTACAGGGTTAGCCTAATGATTCATCGGGTGTCAAAGGACTGTTTATTCACAAGAATACGACGTACACAAAGCCGGGTGATACATGAAAAGATACATACACTCACCAAGTTTCTGGTACGTACTACAAATTACCAGCTGCAGCTTTTCTGTATTTGCGTAGGAAAACACGCTGAACGCTCGTAACCGAAGAACGCTTAGCATATTTCAACACACAAAAACTCTTTCCCTGCCTTGCCGCCATCTTGTACAGTGCCGCTACAGGCCTGCCATCTAGGCGGGCTTTTAAACGAGGGGAGTGTTTGTATCTTGTCATGTATCACCCGTCTTTGTAGGTCGTATACCTCTCAATCCACAGTGTTTTGAAACCCGATGGATCATTTAGACTAGCCCTGTATAATACTGCATGAAAATAGCAATGCCTTTCGTTGTGAAGATACTTAGTCCTATTTGGAAGCTTTGCATCTAAATAAATTGGCAACACATTTATGTCAGATTATTTAACTCCTTGCCCTACAATTTTATTTAAACTCCCAATTAGATGACATGACCCATTTGGGAAATTTTTAAATTAGCATTAGATACTAAGTACAGCATACTTAGTAGGATCGTGAACATAAATTTTGGCGTTGTGTGACAACGCATTTATGGCAAATTATTTAACCCCTTGCCCTATGATTTTATTTAACCTCCCAATCAGATTATACGACCCATTTGGGATATTTTTGACTTAGACTTAGGTCTCTCCATAGTGGTTTAATGGTGTGTCGGGAAAAGGAAATAATTATGACGCTTTTCGTGGTATTTTTAAACGCTTATAGCTCCGCAACTGAGTAACATAGAAAGTTGGTTTTAGTTTCATTTAACAGAGAAAGGTGAACATTGAAGATTGCAAAAAGAATTTTAGAATTTGGAATCACGGTTTAGTCACAGTCGAGCAGCAAAATTGGTGAAAATCAGGGAGAATTTTGATGACGTCACAGCGATCGATGCGCGCGCATGCAGGCTAAGACAATTCATGCATCGATCGCGCGAAATATTACTCAAGAATTCTTGAATTACGTCGAATTTTATGCTAAAGTTAAATGCTTATAGCGCCTCAACGAAATAACACAGAGAGTTGGTTTTAGTTTCATTTAACAGAGAAAGGTTGACATTGAAGATTGAAAAAAGAATTTTAGAATTTTGAATTACGGTTTAGTCACAGTCGAGTTGCAAATTTGGTGAAAATCACGAAGAATTTTGCTGACGTCTCAGCGACCGATGCGCGCGCACGGATCGGTTGTGAGCGGTTTATTAACTGATTTTAACAGATTAAGAATTAATTCATTTCAGATTGATTAATTCATCCCGATTAATTCATTTAACAGAGAAAGATCATAGAGTATAGGTCATAGGTCAAAGTCACATAGAGCTACTTCAGTCACAGTTGAGTAATCGATTAATTAATTGTCTTAATTAATTATTATTAACAATTGTTGATTTCATTTAGCTGTGCTTTCTATCGAGTTATTTGAGTTGAGTTGGTTTTAGTTTCATTTAACAGAGAAAGGTCATAGGTCAAAGTTACATAGAGCTCCTTTAGTCACATAGAACAACTTTAGTCACAGAAAGTCACAGGTCAGTAAGGTAAGTAAGTCTACGCCCCTCGCAGAGATAGCCTCCCCTGGAATTTTTTTATATATAATTTCAATCTATTTAACTTGCGTGCCCAAGTGATTTTTGTATTTAAAATTAATTGTTACGTTGACTTAATTACGAATATAAATAACAAAAATTCTGTGATTCGATGCACGTGTCACACACATTGTTGTAGGTTAAGGGTTTGCTTACATTAGTAAGATAAAATATTCATGTCTACCTACATTGAAACGTTTTCTTAATTTTTTTCAACTAGTAGTTTTTTAAACTTTATTCTGACGAAATTCCTTCTTGCTGGAGAAAATTCTTGCAGTTTACTGTACGCCGTCTCAACACGCACACATTCATTCTAAAACCTTACTCTATTTAACTTGTGGCGTCCGTTATAGAGCCAAGTTTCCAATCCATCAACTCGAACCCTTGTGTCTATGGATCCTTTTTGGCAGGGTCGGTCTTTAGACGATTGAACCAATTGCCGCTAGTAGGGCCCCTCGCTAGAGTACTACAGAGAATGTACTCGAAAGGATTTTTCAAAATTTAATTAGATTTGAAATTAATTAAAAACTAATTGATATTTAAACTTATTTGTTCAATAACTTCGGAGCATATTATCGCACAAAAAACATTCTTACAACATTTAGAAGGAAAAAAACCCCAGTTTTTATGTGGTGCTAACTTTATTTCCATACATTTTTTTCTTCAGTTTTAATTAGTTTTTAGAAATATTTTAAATATATATTACGACGGAATTTTTTAATACACGCTCGTTGCGACGATATTAAAAATATTCTGTGTGCGTGTGTGCACGTTATCTTTGCTCTAATTCTATAAATTTTGAAAGATAATATGAGAACATCAAGCCTAAAACATTATCATCTCTCGTTTTTCAAAACGTATATAACTGTTATGGTTTTACAAACTTTGGGAGTAAAACCAAAGTGTAAGGCACATCCCTCGCCAAGTTGGCGCCAAATCATGGAAAACTCGACAAACGTCCGCCATATTACCACATATACATTGTTGCCGCCCGCCATTGGGTTACCACATCTGGTGATTTATCACCCCCCCCCCCAAAAAAAAAAAAAAAATTAGCGCCGCACCGTACACTTTGGTTGGGCCACTTAGGGATCGGAAAACACGGCTAACTGAAATTATTTCCAATAGGGCCCTCGCAATATTTAAGGCCGGCCCTGCTTTTTAGGTTACTTCTATGCAGTCACTCCAAGCGAACCTCTTTGTAATCAAACCGCGCAGATTCATTATTGTATATATACTGGAACTGTCTAATGTTATACTACTTCTGTTTTATTTCGTCACGCAATGATGTGACTTTTAATTCCAGAGTTAAATGTTTATCTTTTTAATGTGTTTCTTTGAATCTGTCTTAATCACTTTTAGTCAATAGGCAATGACCATCAGTCCTGGAGATCAGAAGATGAAGTATAAAGTGGTGACCCGGGCGTGATTTGAATATGCAGCCTTCTGAAAATTCTTAAATTTTACTGTACGCCGTCTCAATACGAACACATTCAGTCTAAAACCT